TCTCTCTCTCGCTCGCTCGCTCGCTCGCGTGGATAGAAAAGTTAATAATAGCGATGGAAATACAGACAAGTAAATTATTGAAGATAATGGTAGATAATCTCATTTTTCATCGAAATCTTTTTGATGATAATAATAACGAAACATGCGTTAATCTCCCTTTAATTATTCTTCTTATTTTTCTCACTTTAACAAATATTTATATAATAAAACACACACGTATAACATTATATTTATATAATAAAACGATTAATTGAAATTGGATTTTTCGAATGAGGATTTAATTTAGCGATAACACGTATCGTTTCTAATTTAAGAATCTCTCAACGAAACGTGGGTTCATTCTATTTTCGAATCCGATCCAGCCTACAAAACTGGTCTTATTGATCCTCTAGAAATAGGAAGAGAGGCAAGAGAAGAGGAGAGGGAGAGGTATTTGGATGCATGTATCGCATGTAAACGTAATAACGTCGACAAGCGACGAGAACATTCGTCAATCAGCGTCAAATCGACGATCCTGGTGGTTTGTCGCCGGTGTGACTTCCATCTATTGTCATTCGCTTTGTTTTACTCTATCCATCCTACACGAACTATTTTTTTCCCTACGATTGCTTTTCCTTTTTCGCCTAAATTACAACGAAACTTTGTTCAATATTATTGAGATAGATAGAGAGATAGATAGATAGATAGAGAGAGAGAGAGAGAGAGAGAGAGAGAGAGAGAGAGAGAGAGAGAGTAACACAATTTGATAGCTAAAATCGGAAACGCTAACGTCGACTAAACTTACTATCTCGATAATCGGTTGAAACAAACAATGAAATTCGGTTAACGATTTCAAGGGGCTTGATTATCTCGAATTATGATTTTCAACAATACCAATGTCTTCTATTTATTCGAACAATTTCCTCTCTGTTTTAACGTATTTATTAAAATATTATCTCCCCCCGTGGTGTGTGTGGATTTTGAACAATCGATATGCAGTATTATTATATTATGTATTGAGAAATTTTCTCCCCCCAACATAAACGATTTAAATTCGTTACGATAGGCGAAATTCTGTACATTTAACACAACACATCGGGGTAAATGGCAAATCTAACGGAATAGAACCAACTAGTCAATTCTATCAGTTTATGGTGTTTAAACTTGATTATTTTCTTTCCATTCAAAAATGTAACAACTCTTATCGTTATTACGGATGATGAAGTTAAATATATTGTGTCAGTATGTACATACGTGGGTTATGCACATATGTTCATCTAAAAGCTATCGTATAAATGTTAAATAAAGCGATAAAGCGAATTTAACGATCGTCGAAATATGTTTGATAAATTATTTGCTCGAAAAATGAGAAACATTTATTTATTTGGCTCTTAAAGCGTTGTTTTATGGAAGAATGCGTAAATTTAATGAAGTATTTAATCAAAGTATTTAACTCGAACGTCTGATTAGATTCAAACTTACGGCATTCGTTGCTAAAGTGTTTAACTTGAGGAAACAAAGCTTGTCAATTAGTTTTTCTTCATGTTTAAAAATCGCGGCGTGATTTAACTTACCATTGTGAAAATAATAGGACACGTCCATGTATTCCTCGTCAGTGGTGGTGTTCGAAGCTCGTCTTAAAACCACCGTCATATCTCTACCGTTGGATGAATATCGTTTTGGCTCGACGTACCTACGAACGTGGAGAAAAGAAGTCTTTCAAACTTTAAGTATCGGTAATACCGTTGGACATTCGTGGATAGAACGTCCGATAATTCTTCAGAAATGGAAGAAGAAAAAAATGCAAGAGTAATAGGACAAGAAAAGTGAATTATACCTTATACCTTTTTCTTCCCTTTTATTTCACAGTCATGTTAATTTATTCACGAAAATGCGCATAATTGAAAATCCCTCTTCTTATCCTATCCTCTCTCTTGTGATATTCAACGTGGAAGCTCAGATTGATATTACCATTTATTATCAATATAACGAAACGAACAAAAATAAATGTACGATATTGTGTATGATGCATTATGAATTTGTAATAAATAAAACTTAGTAGAACACATATTATACCATGGATATATTCAATGGAATTTAATAACGAGTTTTCAAAATTTTACATTGAAAAGATATAGAATTTGAAAATGTTGAAATAAATGCAAATTGTTCGAGCGAATGTAGTTCGTACATACAAACCTGACTCCTTATTGAAAGTCTTTTAATAACATATAACATTAACGGGTAAATATACGATAGAATACGACCTAGTTTTCCTGTTCTATTGTGATAGAGAATAAAGGGAAATGTTGAAGGATAATGAAGACGACATTTGAGGAAGAGAGTTGGTATCTTATTATGAATAATGATTGGTTTGATTTGTTCTTAAAGACGAGGTTACATAGACGTATCGAAAAGGATCGTCATAGTGATGGTAGTTTCGCGAACGAACGACAGAACACGTACACACACATACACACACACACACACACACACACACACACACATATAGTCTCCCTCTACGTTCCTTTCGTTTACCAGATGCCCGTAGGAAGTTCGTTGTAAATTATGCAGCTTTGCCTTTATACCAAAGAGTATGGGAGTGGGCGCGCGCGCGCGTATGACGAAACACGCGAGTAGGAGAGAGGTCCGAAAGTTCGACCAAGTACTGTCACAAAGCACATTTTGTGCTCGATAAATTTTGCACATCGTTCAACTCTCCATTTTGCTTGGACGAAGTTGCAAATGGACGGTTTGGGTAGAAGGACCAAGCGCGATAACTTCACCCCTTACGCGAATCGTCTACTAGGATTTAGACGACCATGATAATTCAGTTTCTCTTCCTTTGCCTATTTCATTTGCTAATAGACTTTCTATCGGATCTATTCTATTCTTCTGTTTAATGAGTTTCTTCGTAAAAAGATTATAACATGTATGGCTGAATGTTCGTTTGTACTATCGACGTTGTGACAGGAAAATCTGTCAGAAAACACGTTCCTCGACGTCACACGTTTCAATTTATCCAAAATAGTATAATATAATATAATATTATATTATTACTTTAATAATATATTATATACAATATAAAATTTATTAACTTATGTCTACGTTGTCTTCTTAGATAATGTCTGTTAGTCTTTAAAAAAAGAACAAAATTCCTGTTTCAACGTGTATCATATTACGATTTGAAGCGGAGAATAGCATGAAAATATCGAGACATCGATTTAACAAGAATATTTGCGGCATCGTATCAAATTCAATCGTTGATCCTTTTGACAGGGCACCCTAACGATATATATTTCTACCTTTGAAGAGTGGAAAAACGTCGTAATGATATTTTGAGACGCGGCTTTTCGGACCGAAAGATCGGTCGACCCACTTGGCTAACGGCCAACTCTTCATCCTTGGATTTCATGTATGTCGACCTGGCATACATATCACTGTGTACTTTTCCCTTACAACCCAAACCTTGGGAAGGCCTGAAATTCAGATTTTTCCTAAGGCTCGACGACGACGACGACGACGACGTCTAACTCGAATAATGGTCGCAATTTTTGAGAAACGGTTACGCGGTCTACTTTTTCAAAAGGATTTATTTACCTCATGAAAAAAATGTGACAATTTATTTTTCACGACCGATTCATTATTAATCTAATAAATTTCATTTAATAATGATGTTACAATACCTTGGTTTGATAAGATCTTAATGTGTACAAACGTGATTGGTTGAACTACTTGGAACTTGAAGTAGTAATGACGGTAATGGTAAGGTCAGCCATTCTGTAAACGTGAAAGCATACATATGTACCTATATAGGTAAGTACATTCTACACGTTGTACCGAGATCTCTGAAGTAGGGAAAGGTATGTTTGCAGGAGTGGAACGATTCTCGACAGGCTACAGGTTTGCATCGTAAACATCGAGGACTGTGGTTTTCTTCGGACAAAATCGACAGCCCGTATTTTCTATGGTGGCGCTTGGGAATACCGATCGAACGTGTCTTGGGCTAGCAAATTTCTATGAGTTTATCGAACGTTCAAGAAACTTCTATGAATGGACGTACGACACAACGGGAAGGACTTAGAAACCCATTCGATTCCGATACGATTGTTGTTGATTTAGGAAAGAGTCCTTTCGCGAAATCGATCTCGGTCTTTGCTATTAATCGACCTTTTTATTTTCCGAATTGTTGACAAATTTTTAACGCCTGACGGAAAACGAATTTTATTATCATTAAATTGATATGGGAAATTCAATAGGAAGGATATTGATCCTTTAAAGGTATCTTGTTCGTTCCCTTTGAAAGTGGTCCGACCAAGAACAGATTGAAAGTCTGTTGAGGTTAACGTCGTTTTAAACGCATCATGAAAGCTTGTATCTGGCGGGAGAAAGATCCCGTGATCTCATCGCGGAATGGGAAACGTGCTTGCGGCCGGAGCGTGCGGGATGAAGCACGAGCTTTATTTTACATGAATTTTTACGAGATTAGCCGGCATAAAACATGTGGCAGTCCCATAAGCACGTACGTGCGTACTACAACGGTATGTGTCTCCTATTCGCCTACCACTCATAAATTGTACCAACCTGTCTGAAAACGTTAAGAAATGAAAATAGATTAAAAACTGCTTGTTACGTCGTTGGTCGATGGAAATACTCGCATCTGTGTCTGTGTCTCGGTGTGTGTGTGTGTGTGTTCCAAGAAACGAGTAGAACAACATAGTTTGGATAAAAATGATAACTAAGTAATTAAAAAAAGAATAAAACTGCAGACTGAATCATCGGAGCAAAGAAACGAAAACAATCTTTTGAACATTTTATATTCGAGAGAGAGAGAGAGAGAGAGAGAGAGAGAGAGAGAGAGAGAGAGAAAGAGAAGAATTCTCAGCTATCTTATAAATTGCCTTCTTTCTAACGTGTTTTCTGACGTGTAAACATTATTGCTTGACGAGATGAGTTTGCATTTTTAATCAGACTTATGTTTTCACGTTAAATATCATTCATTATTCATAGTTTATCTTTTCAATGGGGGCTCGGACGAAATTATAGTCGTATGACTTTATTATTAATTTTTACGTCTTTATAATCCGTCATATTTCTTTCATTTAAATATTTCATATTTTAAATGACTCATTTTCTATACACAGATTAAAATTTTTACGTATGCGTATGCAATCTAGATATAATACTTTGATAGAATACGTGCAGCACAGGTGTGGTGAATTTTGACATAGGTGTTACTTCGGTCGGAAAATCAGGACGTTCCTGAGTAGAAATATAAAGAGAAATGCACAGCTGGAAAATCGTTTGAGCCGTCATGTCGAAATCCCCTTGGCCTCTTTGACCGGTGGTTAGTTCCTATGTAATTCCTATGGGACGAAAATTATTCCTATGTACGTGCGCATTGTATAGAAACGTTAACGTTATTTTATCAAATTCATTAATTTATGAAATAACTATATTGATTTGTTAAAGTATAAAAGTAGCTACAATTCGGTATAAAAATTTGATCCGTAGATTAGATCTAATAGATAAGCACTACTAACGGAATACATTGGTTTTCAAAGTATAGGAAAAGATAAAAAGGAATAACTATGAGCATTGTTGTAGAAAGAAAAGCAGACTTTAAAGACGAATTAAATTTCAATCTCACACTTTAACTACTCTCCTTTAGCAAATGTATACAATATATAACCTCGTTGTTCCTTAAAATTATTAGTTGTAGCGTATAATGCAATTCTTTTTACTATATGCTTCTCTCCAGTATAGTTTCTACGTATAATTATTTTTCTTTTATATCTTGCTTTTTTTCGTTAGATTTTGATACATTCAATTTTTCAATGTTGACAAATTTTGCAAGAAAACATTATCACGTAACGCTCGTTTTTTCGTTAATTTATTATAAATCATCTCGTTAAAATAATTACAATAATCACTGAAATATATTTCAAATAAGAGAAAGCGAGAGAGAAAGAGAGAAAAAAGTATAAAAACATGGTATAAAAAAGAGCCGATTAATCGGCCAATTACGAAACTAATTATCGACTATTATTGCCGAAGATTTTATGCTCGTTAATTATAAACGATACGATCGTACATTAAAGTGTCATTTAATTGGTGGAATAATAAAATGTTATAGAGTTAGATATACGTAGGTTGTTGTTTTATCGGCAAAATGCAGGAAACAAATAATTTTCTCAACAGTATCGATATACTTACACCTCTCGAAGTCATACGTTTGTTTGAAATGAAAATAGAAGTAGGGAAAGAGAAAGAGCGCTTAAATTATTCCTCTCTTTCATCGGTGAATGCTTGAATTATTCCTTCCAATCGGTACAGTTCGCGGGATTCATATCGTTCGCTTCATTTCACTATAACATAACCGATATCGCACAATATTCCTTCGCGCGTACGAATGATTTGTCATATTTTACGGGCACGTCCAATTCCCATGTGATTTTCTTGTTTTATTTTAACATTCCATCGCGTAAATAAAATGACATACAAATTTCATGATTTTTTTATTGATATCGAAACTAAAGAAAAACTTACGTTTACTTATTGATTCGTGGAAACGTGCAAAGTTTTCGTAATCCAAGAGAACAACCATACCTTTCTCTTTTCTTATATATATTCTCTCCCTATTTGAATATATTCTCTAGCTAAATACAAGTACCCTGGAGTACAACGAGCCCTCCCCAGTCATCTTTCATGCTTTGACTTCCGGCAAGATGAGCACGAGGTATCTCATTCTTTAGTGGAAGTAGGAGTACGAATGACGGATATAGGTATGTGTGTTGGCGACTGTTTTACAATTTTTTTTCCCTTTTTTTTTTTATACATGCACCTACACCTACCTATCTAAGTATATGTAAGCAGAAAAAAGAACAGAGAGAGAGAGAGAGAGAGAGAGAGAAAAAGAGAAAAGAACGCACTCCGTCGATCTTGTCTCTATTTCAAGCGAAGGAATGCATTCGTTTGAACGAGATGAATGAAAGCACGAGACTATGAGATGAGACTAAAAAAGAAAAACTCTTCATCGTGAATCATATATCTATACGTTTTCTGAAAAAGAGTTTCTTTCCGTCATTGACTTTCCATTCATAGGTTTGCTGGGAAGGAAAAAAAGATCGTTTTCTGTAGGTAAGATCGATGACGGATAAGTAAGTAAGTGGGCAAATATTTTCTGTATACTTTTTTCCTTTTCCTTTTCTTTTTCTTATTTTTTGTTCTGTTTACTTACTCGTCTCGTGCAAACTCTCGTGGTAGCCTCTGTGCTGGACTGCAAATTCGAACGAGGGATTTCACAGTGTTTGCCGTACCACCTTCCGGTAAACCATCGAATATCTCGATCATCGACTGACAGGATTGGGCGCTGAAAATTCGGAATAATAATAATAATAATCCGGGTGTTGCTTATAAAGGATACAGGTAGAAAATAAATTGTCAAATATTTCCAATAATTTGTCGCAGTTGATATCATAAAACCCTTGTTCGTATATTATTTAGGAGAAAGCTGGTTTCCAAGGAATATCGTAAGATAGTCTAGTTAATAGGAAGACCCGTGTTAGCAACAACTAAAACTTCTAACAGAAACCAAGCACACCACGTCGATCGTTTACATTACTAAAATAACAAGATAACAGAATATATCGTTACTTAACAGTGATGAAATCTCGCGTCTTCTTCGATATTACCTCCTTCCTAATAATATTATAATCAGGTAGTTGAGAAAACGTGGAAATCAAAGATTGTTTCGAGATCGTACGAACGCATACAACCGGGTATAATCTTGACGCAACTCTGATATTATTTTGTTCGCACAAAAATAAGAAGAATACTTTTGAGAATGTAGAAATAGTTTTTTATGCTCGTATATAAATCTAATAGTAATAGTAACCGTAAAGCTTCTCTATAACGGCGAAGATCTTAGATGGAAGAGAGGAAGATAAAGATAAAAAGGAAGTAACGGCATTTCGATTTCCTAAACGAAACGAAGTAGTCGAAGTTAGGATTGTTGTAAATGGTAGACCAGAGATAGATAGATATATGTACATATATAAGAATATTCCCTATGCTATTCCGAGCTCGTACTTTTTCGGTTCACTCTCTAATGCATAGATTTATAATATTTTATTTTCAATTTATAACTGGTTTCAATAAAGCTATCTACTAGCTACCTTGTACATCGAATTATTCGGGTACTATCCTCCTCGTATTTTCCCTTCGTTTATTTGTCTTTTTGAATCAATGTAGGTATGCTTGAGGTCAAGGAAGATTGCCTTTTCAAATCCATTCTTATAACTTGTACTATCTCTGTCTCTCTCATATTTTTTTCTTTCTTTTTAAACGCAAATGTACCTCGAAGATGCAAATGTTAAGTACGTACTCGTTTTCCATGTTGTACTTATTGTACACGATAATTGAAAATCTCAAGTATATATGCATATAATACCACTGACAAGGTTTATATACAGGTACCCATACACATGCACGAAACGATTCCATGATATAATACTATTTCCGTATAATGAAATTCACATCGTCGTGTTTCGAGCAATGGAGCTAATTAAGTCTATTGTATAATCGTGCGAAAGATTTCAACGGCGTTCCCCGACATTTCTCAGTTGATTAATTAAATAGCGTTATTATATTTTCGAGTGTATATAAGTACGTACTTATATGTAGCATGTATATGTATGCAGCTACCTTGGAAATTCGTATTAATGTCAATTAGAAAATTCCGCGTAACCCGATTGTTGTATAATATAATAGATAATATCGAAATACGTTATATATATTTATTTCGAAAGTGGCGTAAGTCAATTTATATTCGAATTCGAGATATTGAAGGGTTTGCGTTGGATTAAATTGAAAAATATAGATAACACAGTTGACATAATAGAATAATGTTTTCCAATTTCTAATGGTGTCAAATTTATCATCCCAATTAGCATAATTAACATTATTTAAGAAATAACATGTTTGTGATGATAATGATTGGACTTGAGCCACTTTCAAAATAAACTGCTCATATTATATCATATAATATTTCGGAATAATATCGACTCTAAAAAGAAAATGTTCGGTGCGACGAACTTTAGTAAGAAACAAAAAATGTGCAGAAAATGGAAACGTAGTTTTGTTTTTGGGGGGGGGGGATGAACATTTGAAGTCGCATAAACGTCGATACGTTTCGTAGAAATTGTAAAAATGTATTTTGAATGGGACTCGCCGGTAAAGGAAAGAACTTTTCTTCGTGGTAAAAAGGAAAATGATTATTTTCGATTTCATAAAAATGCGCGAGTGGTAAGAGACGGGGGTTGGGATAATACGAGCAAAGTCGTATTTCCAAGAATTTGATTTTAAACGCGTGTTACAAGTCAGCTGAATAGACTTGGGATAATAGATACGGTAGCAACGACAACAGCGGTATGTAGTGAGAATAGTAATAACAGTGACATATATCTACTGAAATTATGTATACAGCGAGGTAGTTTCTCACGAGCAAACGAATATAATCGTCGGTAGAAGCGAGTCTGGTGAAGCTATTAAAATGCAGGCAAGTATAATAGTATGTCGATTTATAGGAGAGTACTTTGAATTCTACAAAATTTGAGACCCATCAATTCGAAACCAATGAAATAGAATTCATTGAATTGATTTCTTTTTCTTACACTCGGTACTTGTTTGAAGTAAAAGTTGTCAGGTGTTCGAGGATGCACCAATTTGCGTTGTAACATAAAATATTGATTATCGTTTGAACAAATTTGTAATAATTTGTTTCTCTCGAAATGAGAATGGTGTTCTTTATAAAAATAACTTTGAGAAAAATGTGAAAAAAGTATAAGAGATAAATAAAGGAGTAAAGGATTACCTGAGATTATAACTAGTCAAAGAGACGTGTCCGGTATGGTAAGTGCCTCCACGAAGGATGAGACGACAGGTCGTTGATTTGTGTTTGCCTCTGGTGTCGTGATGACCCGAACGAACTTTTTCGCCATTTACTTCGAGGTCACAACTATGTCCCGTCGACGATCCTTGATCCTTGCGATGCTCGTCAGTGTCTCGATTGTTGTAACGTGCGTTGTGACCGGTGTAAATTGTAACTTGTTTCACGATATCCGCTGAGGGAGACAAGTCAAATAAAACGTACGATTAGGAAAATAACCTATTGATAGCAATGCAAATATGCGTATATACACGCATACGAGAGTAAAAATATAAATAGATAATATAGTTCGATTTATTTATATTGTATACGTATCATACGTTACGTTCCACATCGGGTTATTGCATCGAGCTAGGAGGAAATAAATTCGATATTGGAAAAATGAGAAAAATTGCATACCGACTAAAGTGGGCACTTACAAGTTTTATTGGTCGATTCCGTAGTAATCGTGGTAGGTATTTCGGTCGTGATTTCGACGAAGTTTACCGTAGCTACGAAGCCGTTGTAATCGAAAGGAGACACCTCTGGACCAGCTCTGAAGTATGATACACGAATAATCATCATTCATTTGTTTTTCGAAGAATAATGATAAACTTCAAGAATAGGGATTATTAAGGTAATATAATTTGTTGTCTACCTAAATTCGACGAGAACCTCCTGGCCGTTATACATCAATGATGATTTCTCTTTACCGCATAGCATTTTTAAGAGCGGACTGGAGGTCGTTGGGCCCGAATAAACGGCGATGTAGTCGCTCGTGCAGTGACTGTAACACGAATGAGCGAAGAAATATTTCAGATGCTTTCTCTGAAAAGCTTTTCGAGCTGCCTTAAGAACCGTCTCATCTCCGGCAAACCTCTTTTCATCCTCATTCACGGTCTTACACCCCCTTAGGGGCCATACGAAGAAGAGACTATCGAAGCTTTGGTACTCGTGTACCGATTTATCAAGAGAAAGAAAGAGAGAGAGAGAGAGAGAGAGAGAGAGAGAGAGAGAGAGAGAGAGAGAGAGAGAGTTCACGAGGATCTAAGGGATTCACTCGCTGATCAAAGTTTTGCCATTAAACAAAATATCCAATATTATAGTCGGTTCATGGAGGCTCTACCAAATTACCAGCCTCGCGATAGTTTGATTTATTTTACGAGAAAACTTCGTCGTCAATTATACTCAAGGCTATTTCTATTTTCCATCGAGAATCACGGGTGTACGTTAACCGTACGATTCAAAATCGTTTCTTAGATTTATGCAAATCTTCTTCAAAGATGGGGATGTTTTTGTTATACCCAATATTACGTATCGAACCTATGCGATATACCATCGATATTGTTATTCTATCAATGAAACATTATCGAACTTTCTGCGTTGGTAAATATTATTACCGATTAATAAACTGGTATACGGCAATCTTGCGTGAAAATTCAAATAGCTGTATAATCTTTTCTCCGTCTAACCAAACTCTATTCGATTTTATCGTGTTTCCATTACGTGACCACGGTTAAACTACGAAACTTTCCATAGGTGTTGAATATTTTCTTTTACATGGACGAAATGATCTTCTAAAAAAAGATCGTATGCATATGGTATATAATCTCGAAAATTCTACGAACAAAAGGCGACACGAAAAAATCTATCAAATTGTTTAGAAAGATAGGAAAAAAAAGCTTAAAGTTATTTTCTTTTTAGTAGCAAGCTCGTGCTCACTTTTTAATTTAACTTATATTAGTATAAAGCATCGAACTTTCGTCATTTTCTAAGTATAAATTTTCTGAAGTAAGACTTGTTTCCAATTCGCAAATCGAAGTGCATGAAATATGAGATGAACGTAAGAAATTTACCTTCCCTTTTATATCCTATTCTTTTTACGAAACATTTTTAAAAGTCAGTATTACAGACAGATATTTTTCCTTTCTATATATATTTATAAAGAGAGAGAGAGAGAGAGAGAGAGAGAGAGAGAGAGAAGCATCATTCTCGAACTACCGGCTGTGACCGCGGAAATAGTTTCACGTCATTTTCTGCCCGACTGACTTTAACAACAGAAAATCGGATTTTCTGGCTCCATTTCCTAGGATTCCTTCTAGTACCTTCAGAGGAAAAGTGGAAAAATGAAAAGATAGTAGACTGCGAATGTGCGTATAATATAACTTTTTTAAATTTTTATTTTTTTTTTCAGCATGTACGCGCGTCGTTGCGCAAATATTCGTGTTGCACATGAAACAGCAGGCCATGGTGACTTTCTTTCTCTTTTTCTCATCTCTCTCTCTCCCTCTCTCTTTTTTTTCTGACGTTTAAAAGTTCAGCGAGTAGAAGAAACATGAATAATTCCTTTAAATAATGTTATATTAAATATCTTTTAATTGAAATCTTTTGTTAAAGGCATTATAAGAGGAGTACCGTGGTCGCGTGTCGAAGTATATTAGCTTTAATGTTTCCTTTGAGTTTTATCGCGTTCAACAGTACTGCCAGAAATGCAAGGGCAAATCGAGTAGCTTCGCTCCCATTCTCTATGTAAATTCTAAAGCAATTAGGTTTTGAACTCGACTCGTGAGAGACAAGAATGTCACTTTAAAGAGAAAAGGGAAAAAGAGAAAAAGAGAACGAGGAAAGGTTTTCGAATGATTCTATTACCTGAAAGGAAAGCTTGGTAGGTAGATGTGTCGAGGAATACAGAAGAAACAGGTCTTTGAATTTGACGACGGGCGTTACCTTCCTGGCACCTACCTGGCACCTTCTTTCGCGTACTTTTGTACGCATTTTTAAAGAGCGACGCACGTGGAAAAAAAAAAAAAGAAAAAGAAAAGAGCGAAAAGAGCTGGAAGTAAAAAAGAAGAAAACGTCGACTGTACGAGTTTCCTCGTTTAGCGAAAAAAAAGGGAAAAAAAGAAAAAGGAGAAAAGAGGACTTTACCCGAATCTGAGCAATTTCATCTTTTGCACTTGCGCGTATTCTTTGTTTTATTCACTCCTCGTGAGTGACCTTGTTTCTCGGCCGCAATTTCTTTGCTTAAGAACTTAATGTACTGAAAATCTAGAGCAGTTGGAATCGACCATACCCGGTAGACGGATGTGTAAGGTAATCCGTTTGAAATTACGTTGCGGGAAAGTTGGTTGCTGCACTAGTTCCAGGAAAAAACTACAAATGTTAAAGAGAGAGAGAGAGAGAGGAAGCAAGTAAAAAAAAGCAGCTCATCGTCCTTTTAAAGTCCTTTATTTTTCTTCCGTTAGCTGTTTAAACGAGCGTCCCGTAAAAGATTCCGAAGGGGGTTACTACTGAAAACGAAGAAAGTGTTTTATAGAATCAAGCTTGAAGTTTTCCTCTCTCGGAATTACCTTGTACGTTCTTCGCGAATTTTAATAAACCTTTATAAAAAAAGTTAAGCTTTTGAAAGACTATCTTCTTCTTTTTCTTCTTCTTCTTTTTCTTCTCTTTCTTTCAAGAAGGAAATATCGTGGAAAAATATATCGGATGGCGACCGAAAGGTTTTGTTAAAAGGTTCGATGGTATGTATAGACAACGATTACAATAATAATCCCGTAGATAATAATAACAATGGTGGACGCGCGATCTAGCACATTGGCGAGTGGCATGCTTATACTACGCGTAATCGGGTAGCAGCGCTAGCAGCAGTTATCGTATGTAACTGCGTGTTACTAATGCACAACTGTATGCATAGAGAGATATTAATGTACCGCTTGATCCTATTTACTGCGATTAATGTAGCATAGATGGTGCCGTTATCTGCTTGTTCTCTTGAACCGACGAAATTAGAAGGTGCATTTACAATATCTCGAGAAAACTCGAGAGACACATGTAAGAGTCGAGCGTCGTTTTCAGTGTCACTATTTCTCTCTCTCTCTCTTTCTCTAATATTGCTTTTAATACCGTTCATAATTTTACGAGCACTTTATGATGGATCTTCGAGGATTTTATCATGGGTCAACAGGCCATATTATTTTTCATTTCGTCAAACAACTTTGTTGAAAGACCATTAATTGTAAAATATTACTGTTTATACCCATCGATTTAAAGTAGTGTGCCGTTAGCTCGAGATAAATATATATATTCTTTAAATAACGTTTCCCTTTTTCCTCTTCTCGGAGATGATGTTACTCTTTCTCTCTCTCTCTCTCTCTCTCTCTCTCTCTCGATAACTACTTTGAGAAAAGCTTTACCAACGTAGAGATCGCGTAAAATATGTTCTCTTTCGTAGAAGCGATAATCCGTCGTCTCGATTCACCTATAAAACCTAGCCGTACTCGACTCCCTATACTTCCGTTACTTTATTGCTTTTATATTTTCAATTCATTGTCAGCAAGATCTCGCGAGGAATCTATTATTCTTGAAAAATCCGTTACGGAGAATCGATCCTATGTATATTACTCGAGCGATGAGTTGAAGGTGAACGTATAAGGCCACGAGATATGTATCTTTCTATTACCAAGATTAGCATGATTTTCCATCTTTCATCATTATTCAGAAAACACCTGTCCGCTTTTTCTTCCCTCCTACGGATATATAAGAAAAAAAATATACTAACAATAAGAGTAAACAGATTAAGTTGAAAAATGTCGTAGATTATGAACAAAAAAAAATAAAATTTTTGAATGCAACGAGAGAACATTTATCAGATTTCTTGATATTATTTATTAATTATTAAAATACTTATAAGAAGTTTTGAGTCATTTACGAAAAGTATAATACGTATTTGTTCGAAATTCTGTTTATACGTTTAAACTTTAATCCTGTTGTAGTTATGTAAATATTATACCAATATTCTAAGTCGTCATCCCCCATTCCGGTTCTCGTTTTAGCCAATGCGAAATGAAATAGAGCAGGAGTGGCTCTAGTTGAAGAAACTTGCCGCTGATTAGAAACGATCCTCCTCGTACTTAGGCTGTCCTCCAAGTTGAACCGCATTGTTATTCGGAACCGTTTTCTCGAAACGAGGTATTATCATTTACACGCCTCGTCGGATTGGTTAAAGGCAACCAACGTGGAGGGTGTCGAAGATAAAGAAAAAAACAAATGGAATAAAATGATACGGAAATTACAGCCTTTATTTCTTTTTCTCCAGTTCTTTTTTTGTTTTTTTTTTTTTCCTGGATACAATTTCATATTATACTTTGAAAGCAAATATAATAGTTAATATTGATTTTTGCCAACGTAATTACGCGAATAATGGAAACGAAATTAATGAAACGAATTAAAGCAGAAACTTTGTTTCCGACGAAAATATTGTCATTTTTATCTGTGTATAACGTGTTTGTTATATTTCGATTAGTCAGTAGGGAGATGCATGTTTTACAAAAGTTTTTAATAACGTTACAGAAAAAGAAAAGATGAAATAACGGAAAATGCATAATATGGAATTAAAGATAGCGTATGATGTTAACATAGTTAAACGAGTAATCACAATTCTATCGTACCGTTTTTCTCTACCAATTTTTCAAATTTGAAATAACATAATTATTCGTTTTTGTATTCACTGCAAAGCGTGCTTTTTGATATCGCGTTTAATTCTATTGCCGGGGTTGTATTATTTACCGTTTCGTGCTTATTAATTAAGGCTGATAAACCGAAAAAAAGAAAAAAAAGAGAAAAGAAAAGGAAAAATATTAAAAAGGAGGTTTTAAAATCAAATTCGGTTTGTTTCCACTATCAGTCGTGATATTAAACGAAGCTCTATGATAAACGGAAAAATAACGTGGATCATATTTTTAACGTTTCTTTTGTCTAATTAATTAACTTATAAAACACTTGCGAATT